TCCAGTGAAAATACACTCGGTAGGAACAACTGCACAACTGTGGCCAAATCGCAAAGGAGAGAGGCGATTCGCGGAGTTTTCTGGTCTCGGCTCAAATTGAGAAACCAAATATGAAGAAGAATAAAAAATAATCCAAGCGGATGATAGTCATACTTGTATAACTTTTAACCTGCTTATTATTAGAGTGAAATTTGGTATAGCCCTTCGTCTGGGGACTGGAGTCGCACCACGCTTGCGTTTCTCGTCTGCTTCCGAATAGTAGGTCGTCTAATAGAGCTTCCAAATTATAATAATACTAGATTGGCGCTCATACAATATGTTAGTGTTTGGCAGAGCTTCTCCTCGGATTTGTTAGGAATTGGAAAAAGATGATGAAAATGATGAGAATTACTTATAAAATTTCAAGCCAAAAACAAAAATATAATTGCTAAATCTAGCCTACAAAAGTCTAGCCTGGTCAAACTGTTGGCAAAAGACTCCCTTCTCTCCCACCAAAAAATCGATATGCCAGCTGTAGCAGACGTAACAAGGTCCGGATTTTTTTTTTTTTATTTGGTCCTCGAATCTGATGGAACAGTGGGTATAGACTGGGAACCTCCAGTAATGAGGTAGAAAACGGCTCGGAAAAACGCATTTGCTTTAAAATTTTATTAGAAATTAAAGAAATCAAAAACATTCAGCGAGAAAAATAAGAAAATTTAGAATTCTTAGGTTTTTGGAAGTTCAATGACAACAGATGTACGTACAATAGCGAATTGCATGTGAAAAAGTAAAGTCGGAATTTTTATGGTCTCACACCCTAGGAGTGTTCTATAGCAAAAAAAATGTTATTTGGTTTCTTTTTTTAATAAAAAATATTTACAGGTCGCTCAAAGCGCTCAAAGTTTTATAATGGGGAAAAAACAACTTTTTGTAAAAATGGTATAGAGTTCTTGGAAATCAATATTTTTCAATCGGAACATTCTGCTTCTCTTCAAGAGATTCCCAAAAATAATACCCAATCATTTACTTAAAAATTTGTTCATACTAACTATAAAAATAAATAAAAATAATAAATAAAAAATCTTTAGTATTAAAAAATGGTTAAATAAACAATTGGGTATTGTTACTGGAAGTCTCCTGAAGAGAACCAGAGTTTTCCGAACGAAAAATATTGATTATCAAGAATTCGATACCATTTCTACGAAAAGTGGGTTTTTCTCCATATAAAATACATAAATATTTTTTGACTTCAAAATAAAAAAAATAGAGGTATAGTTTTTTTCGATATAGAACAATCCAGGGGGTGAGAGTATTCAAATTCCGACGTTACTTGTTTTGGACCACCCTAGTGTATATACATATATAGGTGACGATTATTTACATCCCCGAAAATTCTTCCACAAATGAATTCATGTACACACATATGTGTGTAGGTACATATAGTTTCCAAATGTGCTAAAGCTAATAAAATTTTATTTTGATTTTTTGTTTTACTATATGTATTGCCGTTACAACCTGTTACTTGTGCTACTCATATTTTTGCACTTGTTCGCCAATTCTCGCTGCTCAACGCGCAGACAAAGCGCTGGCGAGAGGAAAAAATAAAATAAATTTTCCATCTATCATTTGTGCAGCACTGCAGCTGTGCCAAAGAAACAACAACAACAGGAGTTGAAACAATGGCAACAACTGCATACATGCATACATACATGCATACATACAAATAGCATCAAATCATGCCGCAAGAGGAAAAGTTGTCAATCGAGACTTTTTGCTTTCAGCCACTCGCTTTGCTGATCATCTCGACGCTTGCACCAAATCGCCACTGCGTCTCAACTGTGCCACTACTCCGCTCGGCTCGACTTGGTTCGAGTTGGCTCAATGCAACAGTTAGCTTGGACTCGTCTTGCATTTGGAAGCGATTTGTCTTTTGGGGCTGGTTGGTTGGGTGGTTGGTCGCCTTGATCTTGGCCTGGTCGTCGCTGTTGTCGTTGTCGTCATTGATACCCGCTTAACTGTTTCGCCATTTTTCCTGGCATTCCGAATCCGGTTAAATATGAACGAACGAACGGACTTGATTCGCTTACTTCAACTTACTATTCAACTTAATTGAATTGTGGATTAGGCTGCTGCCGTTCCCGCAGCGTCTGTGACTGTGGCTGTAGCCATGGCAGCATGGCAAACAAGTGCGCAAATGTGTGGACCAGTTTTTGCCGTTTTCTTTTTTAAATTGTTTAATTTGTATTATTTTTTATAATTTTTTTCATTGCTTATAACTCTTGGTGCAGTTTTAATTTAATCTCCTTTGACGAGTTTTGTGTCAAATGGCAAAATTGCAAAGGAGTCGAGTTTAATGTGAACAGGATTTGTTGAGTAGGAATCTGGTATGATATATTGAGTTGTGTATATTTTAAGATATATGCACCAAATACATACATATGTACATAAATATATGTATGTGCATGAGTGATAATGAATAAGTACTGCATATTGCTTAGTTTGGTTATTTGAAAAAATAAATGTATTAAGAAATAATTAACTGTAGTAACATACATGTATGTTGGTGTTAAAAAAAATCGTATAATTAAGTGTGTAGAGGGGTATATTATATAATCAATATACATACATACATATATTTATCTGGAACGACCTTCGACGCAATATCTTAACTCGATGAACTATTGTAGCTTTGTATCAGCTCAGCTCGGCTTTCTCGATTTTTCACTGCATCGAGCTTTATTCCTTTATTTTATTTTATTTTCAACAAAGTATAGAGTGGCTATAAATACAAGTGACGTTATTGGCATCACGCAACGCGATTCGCATGACAGCTCTGAATTATGCTGCGCCTATTTTGCCGCCGGGCATTAGTGCGACGAAGCTACAGTCTTGCCAGAACAGCACACTTCGGATGGTGGTAAGATGCATTAAAGCTCCCTATTGGAGAGCACAACCTAGTGTTAAGCAAGCAATTTCTTATTAGCTGTTACCGCAGGGAGCATCCAAAGATACACTTATTAAAGGCATAGCTTCCTCACAGCTTCGTCAGAGAGCATCTTCCTGAGTGTACACATGCGATGCAGGTGCATCTGAAACAGCCATTGGACTCCACGACATACCGGAGACCCATTAAAGGTATTCACAGAGAGTCCGTGACTCTCGCCCATGAATGCCGTTATTGGATACTAGTCACCACCAATTAGAGACGACGAGATTAAGCTACTACGAAATATCAGCATTATTGTGGCCCAGTTATGGTCTGGATGTTGATTGATCGTCTGATCTTGTATTTATCCAGACACGATCATACATACGATCAACTTGTGAGTGTTCTCCCCATGACACCAACCACCTCTTTAACTGACGAGTTAAGCTCACATAGCCGTTGGTCCGTTACTTGAGCTTGACGATAATGGGTGGTCGCCAAACATATTTAGGTGAGCTTAGTAGCTACAACAACAACATTGCAAAGATCACCAACTTAAAGGCACTGCTATGCTTATTGGCCTAAAATCCTTTGGTGAGGAGCCTCCCATACCCAGCTGACACCGGCAGGGTACCACGCTTTCACAAGACTGCTGGTACATCAGATCCGGTGTTTCCATCAGAAATTCTAAGGATTACTAGCTAGAGGCGGTTCATGAGCCATCTGGTTTCCTGCTACTTTCTAGTGTCGAAGTCGTTTTAGGAAGTATACTGTGGAGACTTGATGAAGCATTTGCTGACTTCAGAGTTGCATAGGATTTCTGCATCCCTTGTGCAAGTTATGTTGTCATTGACGCTTGTCTTATAGTGTTCCTTACTTCGGCTAGCCATCCTGTCCAGTATATTAGTTAGACCGGCATTCCCTCCTCTGAATTAAATTTTAGTCAATACAAGTTGCTGAAATGCTATTTTGAAAAATCTGAATTACAAGGGCTCCTTACCGGCTTTGAACCACGGAATCAATAGTGAAGTGTATCTTACTGTGATCCATAAAGGAATAGGACTTTCATTCGCTCTAGTTACCACTCTTAATAGAAGACGAATCTATAGTAAGTGTTAAATATTTTACGTCTTTTCTCACCTTATTACGGAAAAGTGGCTGATTGGCTTCGTAACGTATTACTAGTAGTGGTCCACAAAATAAAAAAATTCCGATATTTTGACCGATTTTGTCATTTTTATTTAATGTTTATTATTTTTTTTTATGAAAGTCTAGCTGGTATACAACAAACACCATATAAATTCAGATTTCAAACTGTGTACAAAAATTAGAAAAATTCTGCTTATTTTCATCAAAATTTCAAACTTTTTAATCAGAATTTGGGTATGTAGTTTTGTAGACCATTTCATTCTAGTATAATGAAGGGCAAGTTTCAAGCTGCTATAAAATCCCGTTAATTTTTGGCAATTTTTTTTTGTAAGCTGTCTGCAAATGTTTTTTAAAGTTGGCTGTCGCTTCACCTGAACATTTGAAAAGAAATTCCAAAGAATCGGCAAAGAATCGGCGAAAAAAGGCCGATGCCGATGCCGATGCCGATAACGATGCTCAGTTTTGTGCCGATACTAGCCGATGCCGATGCCGATTAATCAGTCGGACTCTACTTATGTACACATGTATTTTCACTTTGGAGCAACCCCACCAATAAGCTATTATCTCCTCAAGAGGACTTAAAATTGAGCCTACATATGACTCTCGTCCTCCGTTAAAAACTGGAGACTGTTTGCTTTGATATTGACGATAAGAGTACACTATTAGCCATCCTCTCTAGCTACATAAAAAAGTATAGTAAACCAATCGTATTTCCTTTATTTCATGTTGATGGCAATCAAAAGTGTTGTAATGTAACAGCAAAGAAAAATAACAGCAAGGTCAGTAATTAACAGCACCGGCTGGGTCCACTGCCGAACAGCAACACTGCTAGTTAACAGCCAATGTAGCAATATGATAAGCAATTTCTTGTTCGCCACTCATTCACCTGCCATTCCACTGGAACCTGCGCTACCACTGCTGGCCCGATCGCTGAGTGAAAGCAGCAACCAAAAACAATTGTGGTGGTTGTGGTAAATTCTCTTCTTCAACTGGCTAGCACACAGTGGCATCTGCGGCTTCACTTGCAGCCAGCCATGCCGTACGATCGCTTGGCTTAAGCCAGCCGAATATCAGCAGCAAAGCAGTCCACTGCACTCCTCAAACCAGCAGAAGTATCAGTCTAACGAAAGAAAGTAACGCTTTGGATCGCGTATTTCGCGTTTGTCACTCGTTGCGTGCACACGTGTTCTCGGCTACGTCTCGCTTTAAGCCGTTATTCAAAAAGAAAAATAAAACAACAAGCACTGCGCTACACCTGAAATCCAGCTGAGTTCGCACATAAGCAAACTTAAGACTTAAAGTGTTCTTCTCCCAGTGTTTTAGAGAAAGAAAGCCACAAACAAATAAAAAATAAAATAAAAAATTAGTGTTAGAAGAAAAAGCGTTGAAGAGCAAGTGGTGCTTAACGAACCGTCCGCCTGGCCGACCAACTGCTCAGACAGACCCCAAACGACCAGCAGCAAACAGCCAAATAGCCAACAATAACAGCGTTCGCTCCACTTCTGCAGCTAGAACGGCTAAAAAAAAAATTACTGCTGACTCGTTGGCGCATAACTGTTTTTGGTGTGTATCTGGTGTTGTGGTGTAGACTAAAAGTACAAAGAAACAGCAAAAAAAGTAAAAGAAAAAATTTTATAAAAAAATTAAATTCAAATAGGAAGAAACGCAAAGAGGGTGAGAAGGTATTGAGCGAGTAACAAAAATCAGTGAAAAAAATTAAACACTAAGAAACGAACGATAATAAAAAATAAGAGGCTCAGTCTAGTAAGTGAGTTTTTTCCACAGCAAAAAAAAAAACCGACAACAATCAACAAAACGTTTGCAATCCGAGCCAACGACAAACAACAGCTATAAAAGCTCTATCATCAACGCATCTAACCAACCATCCTGCAGCCTACGCGCCGACAAGTGTCTTAACAAGGTGCGAATTACATACTCAGCTTTTCAGAGTACAACTGAGTTTGGTTTTATTATTTAGTTTTATATTCTTATTAGCGGATTGCGCCAAAAAGTTTTGGCAAAAACTAAAAAAAAAAACTACAAAAGATTTCACATAAAATTCCAGTGCGAAGTAATGAAAAAATGTTTAGCAATAAAAAGAATGAAAATCTTTGCGATTGTAAAAGTGGTATAAAAATTACTCTCTAACAACGATAGCAATAGCAACAAGTAAGAAAGTCTAAGTTCGGGCGGAGCCGAACATTAAATACCCGGCGCAAGTATTAAATATATGTTTTTTCACCCTTCCGAAACCTTCCGCTAGATGGTAAGCCGAGGTGTATCAATTTTGAGTAAATTAGCGTCCTTCAATTTCGAAATANTTTTGGCTGTTACAAACAACCGTTATGTGAACAAAATTAATATACCCTTGTGCACAAGTGCGCTCGGGTATAAAAATAAGAATAACAATAACATTTATCCAGCAATAGGTAATTGCTCAAACACGAAATTCATCTTGGCCACAGTGCCAAAGAAAAGCAAATGAAAAAAAAGAAAGCAGTACACTTAGCATGGATTTATGAGTTTATAAAAAATGTGTGTGTGTGTGTGTGTGTGTGTGTGTGTATGTATTATGTTTGTGTGGCCGAACTACGCGTTGACCGATATTTCGCAGTTCTACTTTGTGCACATCAATGGATTGTTTAATGATCGATAATTGCAAATTAGATATAGTAAATTTGTCTAGATGTTAGGTGTGTATATAATTACATATATAGAGGTGTTTATATATTTTCAGCGCAATGGGAGATCATATACGTATTAAAATAAGTGACGGCTTGAAAAAAGGTCGAACTATTATTATCTACCAAACATGCGCATTGCAATTTAATTAAAGTATGAGAACTCATTTATAAATATGTATAGATGTTAGGGTGGTCCTTAAAAATATCAACATAATGGGCACCCCTTTATTTTGTGCTACTTATAAAAGCACAAAGTTCGCGAAAATTTCAAATTTTTTTAAATAAAATTTTGGGTTCGCTACCAGGGTTTGACAAAAACCATTTTGACTTTATGAATTAATATGAATATCTTCTTCTTTATTGGCACTGTAACCGCCTAAGCGATTTTGGCCGAGTCCAAAACAGCACGCCAGTCATTTCTCATCTGTGCTAACTAAAGCCAATTGGAAATGACAAGTGAAGCCAAGTCTTTCTCCACCTGGTCTTTCCAAAGCAGAGGAGGCCTTCCTCTTCCTCTGTTACCAGCATCGCAGCCCACGTTCAATACTTTCAGAGTAGGAGTGTTTCTGTCCATTCGAACGACATGGCCAAGCCAGCGGAGCCGTTGAATTTTAATTCGCTCCACTATATCTATATCGTTGTAAAGCTAATACAGCTCATCGTTCCATCGTCTGCGGTACTCGCCATCGTCAACGCGTAAAGATCCGCAAGTCTTTCGCAGAATCTTTCTCTCGAAAACTCCAAGAGGCGCTTCATCAGATGCTTTCATTGTCCATTCCTCCGCGCCATACACCAACAGGCATGATGAGTGACTTATAGACTTATGATCTTTGTAAGACGAGAGATGACTTTACTCCTGAATTGCCTACTCAGTCCAAAGTAGCACTTGTTAGCAAGAGTGATTCTGCGTTGGCTTGCATTTTTATTGGCGTTAATGCTGATTCCCAAATAAATGAAGTCGTCTACTTTTGCAAACTTGTAACTGTCAACAGTGACGCGGATGCCAAGATGCGTATGCTCTGACTGTTTGTGTGATGACAGGAGATACTTCGTTTTGTCCTCGTTTACCACCAGACCCATTCGCTTTGCTTCTCTATCCAATACCGAGAAGGCAGAACAGACATAGCCGTTGTTTTTACCGATAATATCGTTGTCGTCGGCATACGCCAGCAAGTGTACGCTCTTGTAAAATATTTTTCCTGAGCGGTTGAGTTCTGCAGCTCTTATTATTTTCTCAAACAACAGATTAAAGAAGTCACATGAAAGAAAGTCGCCCTCTCTGAAACCCTGTTTGGTGGTATTGCTCAACGTCATTTTACACAGCCGTATCAGTTTGGCGGGGATGCCAAATTCAGACATAGCGGCGTATAGGAAACTTATTTTAGTGCTGTTAAAAACGGCTTTGAAGTCGACAAATATGTGGTGAGTGTCGATCCTTTTCTCGCGGGTCTTCTCCAAGATTTGGCGTATTGTGAATACCTGGTCTATGGTGGATTTTTCAGGTCTAAACCCACACTAAAAAGGTCCAATCAGGTCGTTGGCGGTGGAATTCAGTCTTTCACACAATATACTCGATAAGACCTTGTAACCTATTCTTAGAAGGCTGATCCCGCGGTTGTTGGCGCGAATGGCGGGGTCGCCGTTCTTGTGGATTGTGCGTTCATCTGACCATATTCTGCATAAGAGTTGATGCATGCATCTTATGAACTCCTCGCCACCGTACTTGAATAGCTCAGCTGACAGGCTGTCAACTCCAGCAGCTCTGTTGTTTTTCAGCCGCGTTATTGCTATTCGTACTTTGTCATGGCCAGGCGGAGGAACATCGACTCCGTAATCATCGACAGGGGGCTCGGGTTCTTCTTCTCCACAACTTTCCGCGCTGCTGCCATGCAGTAGCGTGGAAAAGTATTCCCTCCATAATTTAAATACGTTCTGAACATCGGTGACTAGGTCGCCATTGTTGTTCTTACAAGAGTACGCCCGAGTCTTGAAACCTTCCGTAAGTCGCCTAACTCTCTGGTAAAATTTTCGGGCATTCTTCCTTTCGGCCAGCATTTCAAGCTTTTCGCACTCACGTATTTGGGCCTCTCTCTTCTTATTGCGGCAAATTCGTCCCGCTTACCTCTTCAGATCCCTATAGCGGTCTCACATAGCGCGCGTTGTGCCCGATCGCAGCGTGGCCCTGTAGGCGGCATTTCTTTCCCTGCAGCTTCCTGACACTCCCCATCGTACCAGTTGTTCTTTCGGGCTCGCTGAAATTCGACTACTTCTTCGGCGGCGGTATTTAACGAGCGGGAAATGTGGTTCCACGGCTCGCATATCTCGGCTTGTTGAAGAGTGCTCTCTGAGAGCAGGTGTGATAGTTGGGTAGCGAATGCATTGGCTGTCTGTTCTGATTGCTGATTTTCGACGTTAAGCTTTCCTTGCATTTTTGGGTGCACATTTTTTGCTGCACAGAGGCGGGTGCGTATCTTGGCTACAACAAGATAGTAATCCGAGTCGATGCGTACGTCTAAAACGCTGGAAGCATGCCTTCCGTCTATCAGAACGTGGCCGATTTGGTTTCTCGTTTTTCGATCTGAAGACAGCTATGTAGGTTGGTGGATGTTCTTATGCTGGAACATAGATCTACATATTACCATGTTTCGGGCTCAGTCCGTTATCGGAAGTGTAATTACTACTGAAGACAAAAATATGCAAATGCATATCGTCGTTCAAAATATAAAACTGCGTATCGTCCTTCTGCAAAACCGCGTAACTAATATTTGCTGCCAAAAATTGTATTTGCTCAAGCCTTATTCATTCGTACTGAAATATACTAGCCAGAAATGCGATTGCTTTATAAAAAAGAGAACCGTTTTGAAATACGTACCTCACATACGCGGTTTTGCATTTTGTTGATACGCGATATGTATCTACATACATGCTTGCATACCAACGTATATACATATCTATGTACATTTGAAAATGCTGCTAGAAACATTATTATTTTTTAAATAAGAATATATATACATATGCTGTAGGCAACTGTTACCAATTGCTTTGATGACCATTTTATGCTTTCTAATTTTTAGCGTGCAACAATTAGTTGTTACCGGTAACAACGAAAGAAGAAATGACAATCACTAAAAATCAGAAAATAAAAGAAATGTTGATGTAAGAAGAATTTTTTTCTTTGAATGCCTGGCAGTCATCATACATAGTTATATTATCGTAATATAGAGAGCCCCTAGCTAACATTTTTGTTTCTCGACAGGGTAGCTATGAAATTTTTTAAAAGTTAAAGTTCTTCACTTACAAATTTGTTCAAAGCCCTGGGTTTTAATAAACACTGGAACTAATTTATAGATGTATCTAGTTGTTGCTTTTAAATTCTATTTGGTCCTTAGTGAGTAATCCACCTACTTTTGTACCAAGTAGAATTCCGATATGCATATTAGACCACCTTAAAAGCAAACAAAAAAGTTTACCTTACATCCAAGAGTCCAAAGTATTTTTGCAAGGCAATTTTGAAAAGCAATTTTTTTTTAAATATTTCTACTAGAATAATGGAAATACTTCCTTAAAACAAAATTATTGATTTTTAATTTATTGATATTTGGGAGGTAAGCTAGGGTTATAATTACTGAGAACTAGTTGGTAAATACTAGAACGGGGTAGTTGAGGTCAATGAACTTTGAACAAAAAAATGTCCGCCTCCAGGCAAAAACATCGAATTGTTATACTTTAACTGCCGAGATAGGTCGATCTTCCACTCATCCATCGATTTGTGCTAAGAAACTAGAACATAGAGACCTTTCCACAAAAAACAAATCTTGCGTTTAGTTATGTTTCTGAATTATCTCAGCAAATCTAAGCTTTGGCATTGATGGTGCTAGCGAAAGCAGAGAAAAATACAAGAAAACACTTTCCTGTAAAATCTGATTTCTGTAACACAATAATTTTGCGCAAATGGGTCGATATGTGTTTTGTGATTTTGAAAAACTACCTTATGTAGTTTCAGTAAAAATTTTTGTTATAACTACATAATTTTCAATCTGGTTGCTAAATTTTGATGAAAACCAGCAAAAGTCAAATTGCTAACATGGCTGCTAATGCCATTAACAGGTCGATTCTGCGCTGGTAATACAAATTTTGTAATCGGTAAATAAAGTTCCTGGAAATTTTTAAACCCTATTCATATTCTGTGTACTCTTGTAACCGGTAAATTTTGTTACCATCTCATAAGCTGGTATCAAAATATTGCCCCGTGAAATATGCAATGCCAAAATTTCCACAATTCTTCATAGCTGAACTGCTGAATCTTTTAACTGCATTATCAATATACACGAAATCGCTGTGATAAGAACTGGTAGCATTTTTCTGTAATAAAATATTCCGGTAACAAAATCTTCGGAAACGTGCAGAATGGACCTGTAAGTGTAACGAAAAATGACATGAAGATGGCACAACGCCGAAACCGGTTTGTCTGCTAACCAAGCTTGACACGGTATGACGGAAATTCATTCCAAAATAAATCATGTAACTACCTTCTTTTTTCTACCATGAGTATTATCATTTCAGAAAATATTATGTACATATTTTTCACCGATTACTAACCACCTGCTACAAAGTCAATAAATTTAAAGCGTGTAGTAAATACATAAAACGTTTTTTTTTTTAATTCTTTTTGACTTATGTATGTAATTCGCTTTTACCGTTCTTTGTGTGTCTTTCACATCGTGTCTGTCGGTTTATCGATTGTGTCTGATTATGCCTTGTGTTGTTCTGATTCTAAACGCAAATCTGCTAAATTTACATTTCATGCGCTGTTATGGTTTTTCCCAACGTTCCTAACTTTGTTATTTTTTCATAAGCATTGCTGTTATTTTCGCTGCTTATTATTAAGAGTATTTGTTGCTGCTTACGAAGTACTTGTATTTATGTAGATGTAGTATTAATGTATTTTTTTTTAAATTTTCTTTACTAAGCTTAGAAATTTGTATGTGAGGAGAGCGTAGTGGTATAAAAAGTATGTGTATGTGTATACATTAGGCATATGACTTTTTTCTAAAATTAAAAATGCTTATGAGGAGAGGATGGGGATGATGAAAACCGAAGAACTGTGAGAAAAAAATTGTACTGAAAAAAAAAAACATCTTACATATAATATGTATGAACAATTCCATGTCAAACTAATTATAACTGCGATCAAAAATTGGTTTCCAAAATTTTTTTATTTTTTTGTTTATTCCGATGACTTGGAATTTTCCATATATGTACATATTAAAGGTCTGCAAATATACCAGCAGAAATACTCTTCACATGTGTACATGAGTAAATGGAACATACATTTTAGAGTACTAAAAAAGATAGGAAGAAAAAAAGAGAACATCATAAATTTGAATAACTGAGCAATGTTACTCAACAGTGCTCTGCTACATAAAACACTGTTCCGCTTTTCCAAAACACTTGAGTATGTTGATTGAATTCAGCAGTATTTGAAAACTTCATAGGAAGTATACGAATACTTATGAAGTTTTTTCTTTCAAAATGTTATCATTTAACATAATGTTAAGAAAATTCATAAATTTTATTTTCATTGTCGANCATAAGTAGTATGTATGTACATACCGTGCTATATGCGCTTATTCAAAAACATCTCCCACACAAATTGACCCACCCTAATGTACATATCGTCGATGTTGTTGCAAAACCGCCCATTGAGAGGCGGTATTTTCTCTAGCTATTATTTTACAAATCTGTTGTTTTAATAAGGATTACACGATATTTATGCATAAATATCGATGCCTGGAATTCAAAGTTACCAAATCTCATTTTTGCCACAACGGCGATTTAGGCGGTTTTGCAAAAACATCGACGATATATAAATGCTTTTTCAGTACAACATAATAAAATTCCATAAAAAATACTTACTTTTACTAAAAATTGTACAAAATAGTTATTTTTATTTTTGTTTCAACATTCCTCATCCTCTCCTCAAAGTTGTATTTAATTTTAGAATGAAGTCATATGCCTAGTGTACATACCAACATATGCATGTAGCATGTGTTTTTAAATCTTACCATATTTTCTTCACTGCAATGCTGTCATTTCTTTTGCCATTTTACATTTTTCTCACTTTTTACTCCGTGCGCAAATTTCGAATTTTACTCGCTTGACTTGCTGCTGCGCATGCGCGCACGTTCACTTGTTATAAATATTTTCGTATGGCATCGTCGTCTCTCTTGTACATTTTCTTTTTTATTTGTGTTGTTGTGTTTTATTCATTATTTTTATTTTTCTGAAGCTCAAAACACTTCGCTTGCGCTTAATATTTTTTTCTTTTCATAGTATCTGCCAGCTTTTGTTCTTATTGCTTTTTCTATTTAGTATTTTTGTGCAGAGGTATTTTCTCCCATCCATCAGCTTGTTTATAAGTAAAGTACTCTATGTATGTGGGTACCTATTAATGTGTGAGTAAGTGTACATGTTGATTTTTAAATATATTCTACCCAAGTCGCAGAGACGTTTATGTGTTTACTGTGTGTTTTGCCTGTTTGTTACTTCTCTTGTGGCTGCTATTCATGCCATTGATCCACTGATCCATATTTCTCGGATACAGACGCAAGCGTGCAAGCGCTAATTAATAATATTATATTATGGCCGTCTTTGCTATTTGCTGCACTTTTTATTGGTCTGCTGGTTGCATGCTACCGCCAGCTAAGTTACTTTATAGCCAAGTTTACCTGAGCCAACACTAAGGCGATGAAATCAAGTAAACGTGTAAGCAGTTTGGCGCACAGGTAGCCAAGCTGTGACGAATTTACTCTTTAGTATTTATGTTTGTATAAAGGTATTTATTTATTAGGCATTTAACAGTTCTTGTTACTAATTTTATTTTTGTGCTTACCAACAGATTTTTGGCTCACATTTCCTTCAGTTTTTTTAAGGGGTCCCGTCGATTTTTCAAACGTAGCATAACTTACAACGTACAAAGCTGCCAATCGAAAAAGTACTCCTCTTTTAAGATGATTTTTTTTACTTTTTTATTTTATTAAAAAACAAATTAATGGCAAAAAATTTGTGTATAAATCATTTTTTATTCTGTTTACCGGATGCCCCTATCCAATTTCTATATAGAATTACTCTCTGCTTTCGAAAGTCGGGTTAATTTTTCCCTATGGATAAGTTTCCGAGATAATTTCGATTCACCGTCATTCGACTTAAAAAAAGTGATCCGACCTAATCACGTATATCTTACGAACCGATTCAACACTTTTAATCAAATTATCCATAGTTTCTGAAAAATTAATTAGTCATTCGTGATTTGATATTGTTTTTTTTATTAAAAAAATTAACAAAACAAATGAAAATTTTACCAGGGGGGAAAATAAAAAAAGGTAACAGATTCTGCTACAAGTGAAGAAAATCGATGGATAAATAAAAAAGAAATGTTTCGGCAAAAAAAAAAAATGCGCAAGGAGTTTTTTGTATGTCATATGACAGGAAAGAATGTTACTCATACGCCATGTACATTAATTCCTGCTCATTTTCAAAACAAAACGAGAAAACATAAAAGCTCGATATCGTCTATAGACATACCGTTCGTTCTGCCTATTGTTTGAGATAGCAAATCGAGCTGGTAATTCAAACTGAGCATTGGAAAAACACGTTTACATAATTTGGCTGTAGCTGAGTGTGTGAAAGTGCTTGCTATTATTTGTTAGGTTCTAGATTCGAATATCCACTTAAAAATTGTTAAAATTGTAGTCATTTAAAGAAAACTACACCATTAGTGTTTTTTGTTTCAAAATCGATCTGGTATGACCGCCAAATGAAGCCGGCTAAATTTTCTGTTAGCCTAATATTATATTAATTATTTAAAAAATAATGCATTAAATAAATAGATGGCATAAAATTATTAAACAATTTAACCTTTTCATTTTCAGGAATAAAAATAAAATCAAATTTTAAATTGAAACACATTGCCTGAAATAATTATCGGGATTGGTGCAGAAAAGCAATTTGGATTAATCTTTTCGGTGTATTTTTGAGGTAAGTGAACAAGAATCGAGTAACTCCTCCTTTACCTCCCAATGTAAATTAGCCTAAAAATAGATCTTAACCAAGACGGATGTTAATGTCTTAAAGTCTTTGTGAACTTCCAAGGGAGCACGATCAAGAAGATAATTATTTCCCAACTACAAGCTACTCTTAAAATATTTTGTCTATGACCTAGAAAACGAATTAATTAATACGACCAGCCTGATCTCTTCGCCTGGGTAAGATCAAAGAAGGTATCAAAGCTTATATGCCTTAAGCAGGAAGGTTATACCTTACACCATTGGTGGTTTCATAGAAGCGAGGCTGCAAGAACTAAGAAGAGGAAAGGAAAGCACTTAAACTTCTCTTTAAATTCCGGCTTCTGGGGACGCCGTTTTCCCCACAACAAATGTGAAGTGGCGGTTACAAAGCTAAAAAGCCTATCAAATCTACAAATAGTTCAGCAAAATCGAGTTAAACTTTTTGTTTCGGTGATCTTCCACTTTGGGTCTAAGTGTGTCGCTGGCTTTCAGTTCTAGCCACACCTATGGTCCTTCCTACATACATACCATGTATATGTAAAATTAAATTGCTATTATTTCGAAGCTGAGTGCATACATTAACATTAATTTTTTGACAGAATTCAGCTATCAATGAAATTCATTCAGCAAAATATCGATAAACTAAAAAAAGAAATTAATTTTCTTAATAACAAAAACATGTTTTTTTTTGTGACCCAGTAAACTCTTTAAGCAGCCACAGCGAATCAAACATATAAACATATAATATCTCCATAAATTATCATTTATGTGCGAACAGACACAGTCACAGCCCAACAACAATACTTTGCTTATTTAGCTATCAAGAGCTTTTGTCGATGCGCATGCGTGACTTTTCGAATAGCCAGAGGTGATGAAAAAATCCGCATTCAACCACAAAAATCCACCTGTACGACGTATTTAGGTGTGTGTTTAAATTTTGCATACCACAAATCAATCAAAGCGCCAAACGACCTTTTCATTTTCTCTTTCCGCAGAATGCGCACTGTTTTTTTTTTTTTTGTTATTATTTCGCTACTTCGCACGTTTTCTTTTGACTCACCTCAGCGCTTTCTTCGAGAACCTAACTGTTGTATGCCAATCAATTCGTGTACATATGTATGTATTAAATTCAATTTAGCACATTTTTTTTATTGTATTCTGCGTCAATTTTTTTACACAAATAAAATTTTATCTGAATGCTTGACAACCGAATTTTTGGTTTAGTGCGCTGTTCTTTCTCTATTTTACACCTGTCTGCAGCTGTTTAAATCAGCTTTTATTGAGTGTAAAAATTAATAATTTTATTGATTTTTTTTTTTTTTNAGATTCCATTTTCATGGATCGTAAAGGCGACTTTTATTACATCAAGCATGAAAGTTTGCCGAATCAATGACATTTTTTATGGCAACGACTTTTGTTCGCTTACTTGCGCGCTTAAGTTATAGTTAAGTTTGTCTGAGAGGCGTTGGATTGACGTACCCGTACTTACACACTTCTTTGTGCTTTTATAGAATGAATATTTATGTGCGTGCACATGAATATATATGTACATACATAACACTTGTTCCTTATATCAAAGCAGCGCTCAGCTCAAACAAAAACGCTGTCATAATTTATGCTTACGGTTTGCTCGTATTTTTCGCTGATTTACCGCTTATAATAATAAAGTTTAGTATGCTTTATTATCTCTTTAGGACCTTGCAATTTTACACTATTTAATTTATTTTGAATGTGTATGAGTTTATGAGCCTATTAAATAATAACACATACCCAGATAAGTCTCAAACAGTAGAATTCACAATTGCACTCATAACGCGAGAAAATAGCTAAATGGCTTCTGCTGTATACTGCAAGGAGTTTAAAAAGTCAAATACATACATACATACATAACTACCAACCAATAATTTGCGGACGTTGCCACACCTCAAAATGAGTTAAAATGTCAAAAACAAATCTCCTTTGATATCCACTTTGTGATTTTTAATAGAAAAGATGCATAACTAATTTAATTTTCATTGGAGTCCACCCTACTGTATATATTTTTGTAAGCTAAAATGTCCAAATGGATAAAACGTGGGAAAATGCGACTTTTTGCTTTGAAAACTTCAACTCTTCTTGCATTACCTTTTACTAAGTACAGCGCGGTTATCTTCCTTTTTTTGTTGAATGTGTTTTACTTTTTCTATATGACGTCAGGATTTTCTTTTAAAGGAATCTAAAAGATATGGTTAATTAAAACAAGTAAAAAAATCTAAGTTCCACCAGAGCCGGACATTAGATACCCGGCGCAAGTATTAAATACAGTTTTTTTCACTTTTCCGAAAACTACCGCTCCATGGTAAGCAGGGGTGGTTTTACCACTGTTTCAAACATCTTCGATCTCATCGCCCATTTTTCAAAATTCCATAAAAATATTACTTCTTTTCTAAGGATTGTTGTTAGTATCTATTTATAAATTTTGAGTAAATTAGCGTCCTGAAATTTCTAAATAAAATTTCTTCAAGCATTTCTGAAATTTACCGTTATATGAAAAGTTGGCTTTATTTTTGTCTGATTTCTATAATTTTCAACATTTTGCTTTTATGTGGCAATCACAATAACCACACCGAGTTTTTTACAAATTGATCGAACGGTTATCGAGACACACATATGTATGTGGTCATAAGTGGGCGTGGCTACACCCGTTTTCCAAGATTTTATCATAAACGTACTAACTTACCGTTATATGGGATGTGGGCGTGTTTATTGTCCGATTTTAAAAATTTTCAGCCGTTTGATATGCCGTCCAAGGCCAACAACTGCGTCAGGCAGTGGGCGTGGCTACGCCCATTTTCCAAACATTTATAATATTCTTATTTTCCGTCTAAAACTTATTGTAAATATCAATTTGGAGTGAATAATCTCCAGTAGTTACTAAAATATCCCAGTTTTCGTATTTCTATTTAGTAATAAAGTCTTTAACCATCGCTATGTAATTGTTGTTACATTTTTTTATACCTTCGGTATTTATGTATAAAATTGGTCGTGAAAGTGGCAGTACCTGAGATTGTGGCGAGAACATGATTGGTCGATTTCCCGTGTATTAAAATACTCGAGAATGGGCGACCCAAAAATCTAAAGCCCTAATTAATATAAAAAATTAAACATGAAAAATAGTAGCGCATCAGCCAAGTGGAGGTATCTACCCCTGGTCCCTCCGTCCCTCTGTCTACGCCACTGATATGTAGATAAGAAATCTTCCTATGTGTCAAAAAATTTAGTTTCGAGATCTGCGTTAAAGCTTTTAGAAAATTTAAAATAGTAAAATTTGTGAATTTTTCTTAACTCAGTAAAGCGAAAACTTTGCAATACATTTCCCTTTCTTTTATTTTTCGAGATCCATCGCAAATAGCTTCTAATATTTAAAAAATTATACAAAACATTTTTCAATTTATACAGTTAGTTCTTCGACCACAAAAGTCATAAGCATTGCCAGATTAAGTTTATGTAAATACAATTTCATTGTTATTACTATGGGTTGGAATGCAAATCCGTTAACGGTGCTGACAAGTAAAAGTAGCACTCATTCACTTTGTGTGTTTTGACTTCTGTGGCATTTTAATAATATACAAAATTTTATCTGCGGTTGAAATGAAATATCTATGTATGTATGTATATACATAGGTATGTATTTTGTATAAAAAAAAAAACTAACAGCAACCACAGACAGTCAGTTCATTTGTATTGTGTCTTTTTGTGAATGTAAATATTTGTGCATCAGCCGCAGAAATGAAATTAATGAATGAGTTGGAAGTGTGTGTAAATAGTGAGTTACCTAAAGCAAACGCCAAGCTGTGAGTGAGAAAATTAACTACTATTAACCTCCTTACTATATACTAAGTTGCTTTTGCTTCATTAATTTATTTGGAGTGTGAAGAAATTAATTTAACGATTTGAGGATGAACTTAAACAAAACACTGGTTTTAAGAATTTTTAGGAAAAATGATTTGAAAAGATTTATGTATATTCACCTTCCTGAGTGTATTAAATTTCTTCGTATTACATTAGGTGTAGTTTGTTTCAATAAAACTTAGTATCAATAGGCTCAGCCATAACATAGGAGCTCTGGAAATTCTTATTTTTTAAGCACCTACAAAATATTTTCTAACTAAAATCTCCTTACACCTCCTTCGTCTGACACCAATTCCCTTAAAGTATAATTTTATTTTTTGAATAGGTGGCCACCTCTTACACGTAGTAAAGTAATAAAGCCTTTTCGAAGCCATTTCGAATGATACACATATTGTAAAAAATTCATTAAAATTAATTGAATCAAATTTTGGAACAGCTGGCAACCCTTGTAAAAACCTCAATAATAGTCAAATGCTTAACAAGCTTTCGCCTGACACCTATATTTTAATTTTTCATATAGCTATTCAAAATATTTTCAAACTAGACCCATATTAAATATCTTTCGCCTGACACCCATTTTGTAATACAAATTTCAAATAAATAATTCTCTTAGTTCAAGTTAAATTTGATTTTTTATCAATATGACAGCGCTTCTCCATGAGTATAGAATTGATTTTGTATATCTACATACCGGGTTCCAGTACTCTACTGTCATGTTGATTGATGGAGTACTACTAGTTAAAGCTTGAAATCTTAACAAACAAACAAACTCACTGTCGCATTTATTATATTAGTAAGGATGAATATTTTTGTGTATATTAACATTATATCGATCAACATACATACATAATGCCATTGTAATGCAATAAACTTTATTGTTCTACAACTATTTAGCATAAACTAAGTAAGTACCACATAATTTATAAAATATTTTTAAGTTCAATCATCACGAAATTAAAAAAAAAATATTTCAGTGATTGATATACATTCATACATACGTACCTATGTCCTTCACTTAATTCTTGTAGTACTACCTCAAAAATTTCCAGTTTCAATACTTTCTGTCATAAACCTTTGCAA